ATTATTATTATGCTCCCTCCTCAGGATGTTTGAGCCACTCTTTCACATTATTTAGGCAGAGTGCAGAGCATCTTTGTACATAAATTAAAGCACATTGTTAGTCGATCATCTGACAACTGCAGCATTACAGTAACTCGCCTCAGCCAGTGAATCCGTCCCAAACATCTTATTTTCTTATATTTTACTCTTGTAATCCAGGGAAACTCCTTTACTCCTCCCTGGTCTGTGACTGCAGCAACATTTCCTACATCCATCACTTCTCCCAGCTGACCTGTACCAAAGTTAAAATTAATCCTAACAAATAAAACTTGATTTCTTTTTGCATCCAGAGGAGTTACCTCCTGCTGGCAAACAGATCCACGTAATCTTGACTTCCTGGGCTATGTTTTCTATAAACTATGATTTATCCACAACACGAGTTGTGTCATCACATCAACTAGCAGTGACATTTTTTTTAAATTGGCACTTTGTAAGCTCTTAAAGTTCACGGACTGGATAACTGTCGGTGTGTTGAGACTCACCCAGGTAAATGCCATCTAAGTGGGAGCATCTTTTCTTTGTCACATTCACATCCACATAGAAGAGGACCACCGGGTGTCCAAAGTTCTCCCCAGGGCTTGGATCTAGCACTAACACAGCATCGTGGGCCATGGAGCGAGGGAGAGACTGCTGGTGGGGACCCTGCATCCCATTCAGCACCTGGCTGCCGCTGAAGCGTCTCCGTAGCTTGGAGCTCAACATCCCGACGGAGGAGTCTGGTAGGATGGCCAAAACTTTGTCAGAGTGACCTACCGGGATGCGAAACAGGAAAAGGATTTTATAGCTGGTACAATGCAGCTATTTCATGCATACTTAATAATATGTAATAAGAGAGTACTGCTACCTGCGACACTGTGAGGCTCCGCCACGTACACAGCCACCGAGGACAGCGGCAGGTGGGCGTGCTGCCTGCATTCAGCCTCAGAGAGGGAGGACAGGCGGCGGCAGCGCTCCAGCTGGTTCCACTGCAGTGACTGGAGGGCTGAGCGGACCCAGCGCTCCAGCCTGCTCAGGGTTACGCCGGCTGCCGGGACCACAACTGTAGTGTGCAACATGAGGACGAGGAGGAAAGCTCTGAGAGAAACCATTGTCACACCTGCAGCTTTTTCAAGTGTTTACCTTTCTCCTGTTTTTTTGTGTAAATCTCTTTTTCTTGGTTTTCCAAACCTGTTAGACTTTGTTCTCTTCTGTCCACATATCTTTCCTCTGACCACTTTATGTTATTGAACTTTTCTGCTCCTCTGTTCTGTTACTCAGTTTGATTTATTAAAATCTCAGCTACAGATTTTTTAAACAAACCAAATATATCTTCAGTTCTGCCTTTTTCTTCTTACTTTATTTAAACTAACACAAATATTACTCTACAGCATCTTATCCATTAACAGGTGGACTGACTTCCTTTCATTCTGCTTTTCTTTGCATCTGAGGGGATAAAGTGGACATCGACATCTTCTGACTGATCTTCCAATCAAACACCTTCTTCACTTTTTTAATCCTATTTTCTTCTTGATATCAGCAGGAAAAAATCCCAAAATATCCAAAAGTCTCCAAAGTCTCGTTCTTTCTTGGGTCTTTTTCTTCTTTATTCATCTCTGGTCCAGGTTAGTCTCAGGTTCAGAAATAGTTTAGTAGGTGAGAGATCATCATCATCATCAGTTCTTAGTTCTCATGTCTCCTTCCTGTCCCGTCTGCCTGCACATTGTTCACAGAAGCATTCCTGCTGCTGCTGAACTCACTGCTCGGCTTCTCAGCTTCAGTCAGCTTGTGGTCTCCTGCTCCTTTTATCTCTCTCTCTCTCACACACACACACAGACTCACACACACAGACTCACACACACACACACACACACTCACACAGACTCACACACACACGGTCTCCAAGCTGTGACATGCAAGACAAAGGTGAAAGGATCGATGGTAAAAAAGGAAAATAAAGGAGGAAAGTGAGAAAACAGAGGAAACAGAAGGGATGGTGAAGGGAGTCTGGGGAGAGGAAGGAAAAGGAAAAGAGGGAGGACGTGAAAAGAACATGGAGAACAAGGAAAGGGACAGTCCAGGGAAAGGAAAAGAAGGCAAGGAGAATGAAACAGAGTGAAAACGTCAAAGAAGTGAAAAAACAAAGGTAAATATGAGAGGCTTAAAAAGAATATATAAGGAGAGAAGGAGGAGAGGGAACGTGATGGACAGTCAAGAACAAGGGACAAGGAGGTAATGAGAGAAGGAAAAGAGAAGGGACAGAGGAAGGAATAAAGAAGGGAAAAAGGAGGAAAAGACTGAGAAGAAGCGAAAGATAATGAAAAAAGCAAAGATTTGTACTTGAGGGAGTTAAAGGAGTGAGAGGAGTAAGAACTGGAAGAGGCAGAATCTACAGGGACTCTAGTCATCCCTCTGCTGGCGAAAGCTATAAAGACCCAAGGCTACATGATGTTTTCTTTCCTTATCTGTTAACTTTTCAACTGATTTATGTTCATTATAATTGTGAACTGCAAGCAAGCAAGACGGCACAGTGGCAGTCGCCACCCGGTGGTTGTTGGACAGCAAACGTCTGCCAAAATAAAGTGTTAGAAAATACAGGAACACTTTTTATAGCATCAAGTCACCTTCTGGGAAGTTGATCTGGTCGATGGAGTTGAAGAGGGTGTTGTTCAATCCCCATAATAAGAACGGCTTTTTATGCTTTTTTTTTTTTTTAACTACAATTTGTTTGTTTTTTAACTAGAAGTCAGAGCCCCTCAGAGTTTAAAGTGCTGGGTCCATTTAATCTCACCATGTGTGCTTAATTCTACAGAAATATTCCTAAAACAAGCATTTTTAGGCACGTTAATGAAATTACATCATGTCTGTTGTTCAGTACTTTAAGAAATTCAGCTCAAAGGTGTAGCCAAAATTGGACAAACTGCACATCAGCTCAATATTGATTTATTAAAAGTGCAGTTTTTTTTATTACTGATTTATAAGCATACATCTTTGCACAGGCGATGTTTACCCAGATAGCAAGGAGACATTGAACAGATGTTGATTTTCCATCTGAACCATCAGAATCGTCAGGATTGAAATGTCAACACAAAACCAATGTTGAAACAACACTGAAATACTGATGAAACCTGAAACTGACATTGAAATAACATTGATTCACTGTTGTTCTGTCATCGTTGATTGTTGATCTATTTATAGTTGACAAGGTGACAACAATCACGTTGAAAAACCATCGATTTATGGTTGAGCGGGAAATTAAAGCTGCTACCACTTGGACTATTCCATAGCCCCCCCTCTCACAGTGGTACATCCCTCCAGGTAACCATTGTCTTGTACAGTAGAGCGGGACATTAGATTTACTCTCAGCAGAATTGACCGGAGAAGGCATCAGTTCATGCACTGCACTGCATATGCTGATTACTGATTTTCTGGATTAAAATGTGAACCAACGCATATTTTAAAAGTTTTACATGCAAAAATAAATAAATAAATAAATAAATTAGGCGAGGAAAAAATTATTTAAGTTTTCCAGCCTCAGTAAATTTAACATCTGCTGCAATATCTGCACCTTTGATGAAATCTCACAAGTGTGAGCTTTATTTTGATGCCAAGATTGTTTACATAGAGTTTGTAATCGCAGAGAAATACTTCACTCATTTTGGGCATTTTAATACGTAAATCTCCAAAAGTTGATTCTGTTCTTCTGGACGTAGCGTTTTTGTGGGAGAAACGTTTCGTCATCATCCATGAGAATTTGCATAATTATGATTAAGGAACTGACCTCCCAGCCCATTGTTCCTTCAATGGGCTGGTTTCAGTCATTATGCAAATGTCCTGTTTGTAAGATTGAAACCTGCAGTCAGCTGAGACTGAAGACGTCACCTGATGATGACGAAACGTTTCTCCCACAAAACGCTACGTCCAGATGAACAGAATCAGCTTTTGAAGATGTCATTTTAATGCATACAAATTACTGAGTACCATTTTGTCTTTGAATTCAGACACCCCGAGTCCTAATACACACCCAGGCCAGAAGGTTTGTTTTCCCACTGAGATTTGACGTGTTTGTTAACATTATTTTAGCAGCGTCCATTCGGACTGCAGCAGATACTGAAACCTTATAACGGGGAGATATACGTGCTTTAGGAATGCATTCAAAATATTTTTAAAAAGAATAAAGTGATAGTGAAAGTTTGGAGAGTGGGGGAGATAGTACCTTCGTTTGACACTACCTCTCGTTACTTTGCTGTGTTAGTATCATGTTAGAACACAATATATGGTGAATTTATTTATTTATTTATTTATTTGAAAGAAAACACCTAAAAGGAAACTGTGAGAGATTAAAATAAAGTTTAATTTAGGAATTGTTACGCAAAGGATTTCAGTAGATTCATGTAATCTGTTTGGTGTCGAAGCAAATAAACGTTTCTTTCGATCCCGTGTGCCCACGAAGATCTGAACCAGATTTCCTTAGCAACAGTTACTAGGGACTGTAGCGCGGGATCCGCACTATGAAGCTATGAAGTGACGTATCTTTACCAGGTGGTGGCAGTAACGCTCGCCAAATACCTCTACGAAGAAGAAGTCCTGCTCTAGGTTTTTTTTTTCCAAACCTTTATTTAAACATCAGTACAATACAAAATGGAATTAAATAGTACCACAATAATGGTGTTGTCCTTACAAAAGAATTGTATGCATAGATAAACAAATACAAGAACAGTATTCAGAAACAACAATATAAATATGCTAGGGGGAAAGTAACTGATCAAGCCATGCTCTAGGTTTGTTTGTACGGCCCACACTCAACACCAATTGGTGGCGGTAAGCAAAACATTTCGCTGTTTGCCAACCGCCAATAAATACTGATGAAAAGAAGAAGAAGAAGAAGTCCTGCTTTCTTATTGGTTCAATAGACGATCTTGGGTCACGCTGATGTATCATTTGGATTTTTAAGCTCAGCGGTGCAACATGCATCCTATCGTTCGACTAGGAACACCAGCTTTAGTCATTACATGAGACAAAGTAGGTACGAACACAGAATAACAAGATTCCTATGAGTTCATAAAAGTATTTTATCCTCCGGGCAGTTCTTAGAGCACATGACGACAGTTTAGCAGTTTAATTGAGTCGGTCTGGGTTGCTAAGCTAACACGAAGTGAACATTGTAGCGGTAAACTGAAGGTAGGTTAGTTAAACTGGCTTTATGTATCGCTAGCGCACAGGGTGGGTGCATTGTTTCTATGGAAACTCAGTTTCGCGTCAGCTAACACCATTTTATCACTTAACGTAATCAAACTAGACTTATAAGTAGGCTAATGTGAAGCTAAACTGAAGCGGCATGTCAGCTCACACGTGAATTCTCCACGCTTTCTCTGACAGTCGTCACTATGACAAAAGTCAGCAGCGACAGCCGTGAATATGGGACGTTATAGTTTACTTCAAGCTAGCCAACTCCCCTCGTTCGGTCTTACTGATCTATAGGACATCGCCACAGTGGTCTATATGCCCTTAATATTACCTGAAGCATGTTAGCCTTAGTATACGTTACGTAAAGGCACCCAAAATTAAAAATGCATACGGAATACAACAATCCCCATTATGGCTGGGCTATGTGTTCAACGGCCGTCATCTCAAATATAACATATAATTGGAACACAATCTCACAGAAAATATGGGGGGGGAAACCCAAAACTAAAACAACTGCAGTTAAGTTCACCACCAACACAGATATATTCTTCCAGTCACCCAATGCTATTCTTCAAAGATTAAGCCATAAAGATACAATATTTCGAAGTAGTTTAATGTCAACCTAAAACTTGTTCTGTAATTTAAGCAACTTAAAATGTTCACAACCCAGTTTTTCAGTGACACGAAAATTTGGATTACCTGTGACCTCGTATGTCCCTACTGCAGTAAAATGGCTCGAATATGTTCAAATACTAAGTGATGATCATATGAAAGGATTTTCATAATAATTAATAATAACTGACTGTGTTTTTTTCTCTTGTGCTTACAGTATTAGGGCTGAGAGTGGACAGTTTCATTTCCTGTAAAGTGACTGAGGATGATATGATGGCTGTGGGGGATCCCATTCTCCTGTCAAGTCCTGATACCTCAGTGTGAACAATCTGGTGCAGCCACATTTCTTCCCGCAGCAGCATATGAGAAAATGACAGAAAAACACCTTCCTCCTGATGAACCAGAAACTTAAGATTCAGCTTGAATGACGTATACTTCACACCTGAAAATATCTAAACCTGCAGCACAACCACAAGTCAATGTTTTCCTGCCTACCTCCAGCCCAGATGAGAGGCCCAGACATTTGCCATGGAAGTAGTGGTTACTGTTGGTCTGGCTTTATCAAGAACTGGTTATCTGTTTAGTTGGAGTTGACATTGAAAATCACCAACTTCAGGTCAGCAAGAGGAGGAGGAGCTGTCAGCCATTCATTTATTAGTTTTCTCAACTGTCAAATTGTTTACTGTGATCACCCAAAACTCTGCCACAAAACCAGCCTTTAGAAATAAGGACGACATCGCTGGTTTTTACCATGCCAACCAACCAGTCCTCCCCCTGGGGTGGTGGGAAGCTTGTGGCTTGTTCTAGTGCAGATCATCCCAACACCACAACCCCTGTAAGTGCACAAGCCAAGACAGTTAGAGCCACAAAAGTGCCTTATAGTTATGTCTCCTTTGAGCTATCCAGGAAAAATGACCAAGCCAAGTCACCGGTGGTTGCTGTTTGTGAAAAAGGCGACGGCACCTTCACCGCTGTATCAGATGGAACTCTAACCCCAAACAAACTGCTGGTACCAGGGCTGAAGCAGACTGGCTGCAGCCTTACAGAGGCCAGTAACTCGTCCTCTGTGCCCAAGATGGAAAACCAGGTTGGCCTTAATGTCCAGCTGCCAGATACCATGCCAAAATCTACATCGTCTGAGAGCTCTCAGTCTGCAAACATTTCTGCAGTGGAGAGTCATCAGGCTGCCACAGGCGATGCACTTATGGGACTGGGGACAGTGTCTCATCAAGATCTGTTGATTATAGGGAAGCAGGCTTCCCAGCACACCAAGAAGCTGACGGTGAGTGCTTTTCCAACACTGATGGTCATTTCTAGGAATGTTTTGGGTTGCAACCAACTGCTCAGGCCATTGTTTAAACGAGTGTGTAGTCTACAGCTACCTTTATATTTTAGCATGTCCTCTGACAGAACCTCTGAACAGCTGTGTACCACTGTAAACATGGATATGGTTATCAGCAGAGTTTCCTGTGCAATGGCTGCATGTTTGTGGGTAGGGATGCAACGATACCAATTTTTTCAAACCGATAC